GCCAACATTTGGAAGAAGAATGTTTTCAAGATGACTTGGATAATAGCGCGTTGTGACAAACACCAGATACAGCACTGGGACTTGATCAACAGCCGATTCCGCACCGTGACGTCACAAACCAGTAGGTGGCAGTAGTGTTCTTTGACAAACATGGATGCCTCCAGTAAAGCACATTCACATGAAAATTACTTTTTATTAAAAACACTTATCATTTATTGAATAGTGTGTAATTATTTTATATTTAAAGTACTTTCAGACGTTTGAATTCTGAATATGATCAGAGTTTTCCTTTAAAAAGGCGGCAACACTAAATAAAGGATGAACAGACCATGAGGTTTAACTGTTGCTTTGGGTGAATTCGGATTAAAAAACAACACCACTGAGGTTGTTGAATTGGTCGGCACACATCACCCTGCATCAGTCCTTCAGACTTCAATCAAACTAGGAATGTTCCAGGGCTTCCCCATACCAGGAAAAAACACAAAACAATGTAATGTGTACACACGCTGCTGAAGCTTCTGTTTGCTTGACTTATTTTACCCAAAACTGGTTGATCCTTCCCAACAAAGGCAAGGAAAAACAGGGAAGAAGAAGCTGTAAATAGTTATTTGGTGTTATGTGATAGCCTCTGCCAGGAAGCTACTGCAGCATCTAATCCTGGCAGAGGAAACAAAGGATCAGAGGGAGCTGCTCTACCTACACTGGAGCATGCTACCTTTGCTGCGTTTAAGGTTCTTCTCTTTATGTAGGACATATATCATAAGTGAAGGTAAATGCAGCAGTTCCCACCATTGGAATGAAAAAAAAACACTTGTTTTTATCATTTCTACCCTCATGTAGGTGGTTCTGTTAAAGCTCCAGCAGCTGGATTTAACAGTGTTTTTCCCTCCCTGGTTACACTGTACATTAGCCAGCATTTAAATGAGCTGGAGCCTGGAGTTCAGAAACATCATAAATATATACATTTAGTAGAAAAACATATGTGCAAGGTGCAAATTAGGATAAACCATCATTCACTGAGGCTTCAATTATTTTATATCAGGGAAAAATAACGACATGAATCAGAAATACTCATTTCAAATCACCAATTATTAGATGTCTCGGTCACATTGTTTTACGAAATTACTCCTCTAAGTTTAAAACTGAAAAAGATGCTGAATTTGTTATATAATGACTCTTTTTCTAGAAGTGTCAGAGATTTAGGTCCTTCCACTAATGTTAGTTATCTTATGTGAAGTATTTCTGCTCCAATGTTGTTTTAGGCAAAAACAAAATGTGTGTGGGTAAATTTAAAAAATAAATAAATCTGGAAATTGAAAACGTCTGTGTCAATAAAATGGTTTTGAGAATAACTTTGCTGCTTTCTTAGATTTTTTGTTTATTTATTCAAATGTATTTTCATATTTGATAAAAAAAAATCTCATTTCAACATATCTGAAATGTTCCACAGTTTTATATATATAAAAAATCTTGTTTTTTTCAAATTTATTTTCAGATTGAGTCTTAGGTCAGGAGTGAGTGTTTGTATTAGGCTTGAAGTGAAGAGAATTTGGTTTATAACAAACTGAGTACATAAAACTCAACCTGAAAAACAGAAAATTGATAAATTAAAATCTAAAATGTCAGAAGTTCCCTAAGATACAAGCTGGTATGGAAGAGTATTCACATATTTTTACTCAATATTTTTTCATTCAAGAGTAGAAAGTAGTGGTCAAAGAAATTGCTACTCAGGTTCTAAGTAACTGTCAGGTCATAGCACATGATTTAATGTTTAAAATTCAGACAGTTATACCAAAATTTGGTGAAAAAAATACAAATTATATGATTATAAAAAAAAGTTGAAAAACAAAACTCATTTCCAAATGATTTCTTTCAATGAAACGTTTTAAAAGTTTGGTTTTAAAAGCAATTAGCCTGAAATTGTTTCGCCAAAATTACTCGTCACTACCGGGAAGAAAATGGTTTTATCTCAAGAGGCGGGACCTCTGGAAAAGTAGCCAATCACAGGCAGTTTTCATTCTCAAGTTGGTCCAAACCTCACAGTGAAAAAATGTGGTGAGTACACAGGATCACAAGCAAGTAAAAATGAATCTACAAGTGCATAAAAAGCAGGAGAGTGTATAGAAGGATCAGGAATTTACAGCAGTAGCCATTCAAAAATTCTACACTTTCCTTGATGACACCTTGGCTGGTCCCCTATCTAAAATATCCTCTCTGTCATCATTTGTGGACATTAAGATCTAAAGAGAAGTGTTATCTCCTGGTTAGACCCTGTGATTCAGTGAAAGGGCGGAGTCAGAGTAAAATAATAAACACGCCCATCAGAAGGCCAGTGGCTGGAAGCTGGAGGGGATTTTGCTGCCGTTTGGCTGGATTTTGACTGGGAGGGGCCATTTTGAATGGCTGCTACTGTACATGTCTGACATATATACATGTGTGTATAGGAGGGGTGTGAAAACTTTATTTTAAATCAAAGAGAGGCGCACTAAGAGACATTTGAAAGCAAAAAAGTAGTTTAACCTTAGAGGACTAACTTTAGAAATTGTTAAGCATTTTTTCATCCATCCATCCATCCATCCATCCATCCATCCATCCATCCATCCATCCATCCATCCATCCATCCATCCATCCATCCATCCAACCAAGAGGCGGGGTTCACCCTGGAAAGGTCGCCAGTCTGTCACAGGGCAAGTCAGAGACATACACCCGTGCACAAACACAATGGCACCTAAGGACATTTTAGAGAAGCCAAGTAACCCAACAGTCATGTTTCTGGACTGTGGGAGGAAGCCGGAGTACCTGGAGAGAACTCACGCATGCTCAGGGAGAACATGCAAACTCCATGCAGAAAGACCCGCGGTTGGGAATCAAACCCAAAACCCAAATCATGCAGTTCCAAGTATTATTTTTTGTCTGATGAATAAAGGCTTATCTTCTGAAATCACTGTTTACTATACATTAAAGATGCCTTTAACCTTAGAACATTGTAACTTTTAATATCACCAATGTCAGATGATTTCACATCATAGAATTTACACAAATTGTCTCATTATGTAAAAGTAAACAAATCTAGTGTTTTCATTTTTTCATGGCAGAAATGTATTTTTTAATAGATGTACGATGGGCCTAATACTCGGTCGTCCATGTTTGGTAAAGTTGCCGTACTCACATCTGTCACTCTGTCTCTAGAGCTGCTCCTGATCGAAGGCTTTGACTTGCCGCTCACGCCTTCGCTGTCGCTCTCCTTGCAGTTGTTCTGCCCAGGCTTCAGCTGCAAAACACAACCCACATAAAGCAATCAAGGGTTAATACTGTTAATATAGCATTTTTTCCTCATGCGTGTCTCAGCAAGGCGTCCCACAGAAGTCAGCTCATGAATATGGGAGAACTGGCAGGATCAGCAGTGCTGTTTCTGAAAATCTGTCATGTTTCTGAGCCGATTCAGTAGACATCTCCGCGCTTGCCAACGTTAGACGCCATCTGATCTCTCAGTATGCGTCTCCTTCTCAGAGAAAGGGGACAAAGACCCCTCCAGAACCTTCAAACATGGCCACTCTCCTTCCCGAGCCGACACCACATGCTGAGGCAGCAGGAGCTCAGCTAGTGCCATCATCTACACACGCTGCTTGAGATGTGGCGAAATGATAAGAAGGAAAAAGAGGAACTGGCTGATCTGCCAGCATCTGAGGCTCTGTGGAAAACTCTTGGGAGTACAGGGTTCAGGAGGAGGAGGAGGCGAGGATTGGACTCCAAGACTAAAGCTTAATCCCATGCTGCTTCTTAAAGAAAAGCCAAATCTTTTAATATAAAGGACAGAAAATGATGAGACAAAACAGTCAACACCTGTTTTCACACTAACAGTACCTTGCAGAAGAAGATATCTCCATGTCTTTCCACACTTTTTGTAATATTAATAAAGGTCAGTGCATTTTGTTCAGTGTATTCTCATTATGAGTTTGTATGAAATCGTACGAAAAGTTATGCACCGTGATTTCGTACGTTTTTGACGTTTTTTTCGTCGTATTTCGTTGTATTTTTACGTCTTGCCTCAAGACAAGATATCCTTGTGCATGCGCATCTTACACACCATTCAATAACATAGAATTTAACATACAATTAAGCCTAACCCTGACCCTAACCCTAAGATACAAAACAGCAAGAAACGTAGTTAGAGACATGAAGAAGTAATTATTGCACTGTTTTTCCCATTTTTACGTCCGTCTGCTTTTTCGTCTGTCTGCCAGCTTATGCGCACTGATCTGTTTTTTCGAGGAAAAAAGTCAAAAACTTACGAAATACTGTGCATAACTTTTTTTACGATTTCATACGAACTGATAATGAGAATATGTTGTTTTATTAGTATTTTGTGTGACAGACCAACACAAAGTGATGTATAATCCTAAAGTGACAGAAATCACCGGTATTTGGTCCCCTTCTTTAGACTGGCAGCTGCATCTCTTTGCCATGTGTTTCCATTTCCCATTTACATGCAAGTTAAATCATTCTGCATGAGGAGGATCTGCAAACATCAGATTCTGTCACCTGAACTCAAAATATAATCAAAGTCTAGGCTACTTTGGCATTACCAATCTCGTGTCTTGATCATGTCTTGAACATGTCTTGATCCTACAGAAAGAGATAGTTCCATCTTGGACGTTTTGCAAATTTGAACACAATAGTTTCATTTTTCATATAATCTATCTTCTATCAATCTGATTGACAGAAACTGTGGACAGAAACTTGTTCCATCAGTGAATTTACTTTAATGAAACTCTATTTATGTAATGTGAAATTAAATTATAAATTTTGCTACATTCAAACTGAATTTATTTGCTTTGAAATTGCATTTTCTTCCATGAAAAATTAAATTTGTCTTTTATTTACTTTAATTTCTAAAATGTCAGTTAGAAATAGTTTTTAATGTGTTTGTGTCAGGAAACCATATCCTACGACCGAGTATTAAGGATTAGAGATTTTCTTTTTCTTCAATTTCGAGAATAAAGTAAGATTATGAAAATAGAGTTGTCACGAGAATAGCAATAAAATTGCAAGAACAAAGTTTTAAAATTGCAAGAATAAAATCGTAATATTGCAAGAATAAAGCTGTAAGATTATGAGAATAAAATTAAATTAAAATTAAATAAAATTACGAGAATAAAGTCGCAATAAACACCTCCTTTTGTAGTGATTTTTTTAAATGTGGAATTAGTTTTTTAACTATTTAACTCAAATCTGCTTTGAATTAGATGCATAGTTGTGAGCGACATGAACACATGGAAAACAAATTATTATTGAGCAATTCACTTTAATACAAAATAACAAACTTTGCTGACTAAAATAAGTATTTCAAACTTAAGCCTGTCCTGCTTTACTTCAACTGTAAAAATATAAAATATTTTTTATTATATAAAATAATAAATAAATAGTGCACATTTTTGGTGAAACAGCAAACTTGTGCAAACTTGGAAACATATTTGTTCCTTAAATGCAATGACTGCAGGCTACAGTTGTAAAACAGAATAAAAAATCATCAGCTCAATGCCACATTTTGTAGCGATAGCCTATATTTTCCTCTTGTATTTCCTCTGAGCTCTTGCAGCAATGAGGAGTTGTTTGCCTTTGAGTGCTGCTGCTCTGTTGTCTCCTGCAATCTTCTCCGTAAGCAGCACTTGACTCGACCAATAGGATGAGGGGATTCTGGATCGTTATATATATCCTGTCAGCTCATTGGTCACAACAAAGGACAGGGCCTGCAAACAAGTTTACCATAAGTTTTGTATCTAACGTGCCCTTGTTTTTCATATTCCATCAGCTTTTTACTGACTATTTTTTTACTCTCAGTAATATGGGACCAAGTGCATTCCTTTTCTACTAAATACGGGACACGTACTTCTATTTTTAAATAGGGAACAATTCCGTTTTTCAAGGGACGGTTGGCAACCCTAGGAAACCATTCAGGAATCTTTTTCAATTTAAAATATCAGATATAGCATTGAAATTGTCATAAATGCAAATGAACTAGCATTAACAAGGCTTTGTTGGGCTACTGTATAAAGTAGTATAGTATACAGAACTCAACACTATTCCTGACATTTTGAATTGAAAAAGCTTCCTGGATGGGAAGCGAAACGTCTTCAAACTTGGAAACAAAGTCCAGTGGATTGTTTTTTAACTTTTTCGTAAAAGAGTTATGTCATCTATCAAGCTCACGTTTGCTTCAGAGCTTCAGCTCAAGATTAAGATCAGTTTGACCAGATGTGAAACATCAATCCATGAATCTGTGTTTCCTGAAGGTTGTCTGACGGGAAAAAACAACATTTTCAAACTGAACATTAATTGCAGAACTAAAAGTAACAAAAAAAGACTAATTGAATTATAAAATAGAAAAAATATTTTTTTTTCAAAGCAAGTCAGTTCAGTTCTAAACAAACCAATTCAATTTAGATTCTGTGGAATTAACTTTTAAACTAATTCATTAAATGTCAAATTTCAACTTACATGAATACAGATTCAGTCAGGGCATTTTAAATTCATTTTGTGATGACAAACATTTCTGCCCATAAAACCCTGCCTCAGCATGATGCTGCCACCACCCTGTTTTAGAGTTAAAATGCTACATTCAGGTAACGTAAATGGTAATGATTTATATTGCTTGATTAAACTGCACATACAGTAGGTGGACTCTTTATGGTTAATGAATCAATACACAATGCTCATTTTTATAGCTTTAATCATAAAACATGTTGAAAACATTTCATTTTTTACTTAATATTGCCTACAAATATGCAGTAGCTTATGTTGTTTTATTAAATGAAATCTGAGCTTTAGGGCTGCAGTGTGAAGCAATGTGAAAACGTTTAAGGGACAAGAACAGTTTTGCAAGGAAGTCTGTGATGGAAATATTAAGTACAATGCTGCTCACAGAGATTGTTCCAACCACCCTTTATATCTCCTGCATAAAAGGGTCACATATATGTGTGTATGTGCGTTTTCAGCCCCTCCTCAGTAGTTCCCTTCCAGGTATCAGCAATAATTTATCGTGATGAAAGGGCACAAGGCAAGGGAATACCGAAGGAACCCATGAGCTGAGCAGATAATTAAAATGAAAATGTTCCCTTTTCTGTAGCCATTAAAGGTGTGAAAGGAATCCTATTCCTTTGGAGAATCGCATGATGGGTAGTGGCTTGGTGGATTCACCAGAGTGTTGAATGTGATAAGAGAATCTGAGCACTGGGCATGTCTGATGGGCCCATTTTAATGTGTGAAAGTTTAAGAAGGCTTGAGAATGTGTGCATCCATATGGTACAAGAAGCTGTTGAGGCGAACTATAAGACAAACTGGGCCAGAGTCAAGCACTGCCCTAAGCTACAGAATACTAATTACCTCCAGTACAAAGAAAACGAGGTTCTCTTATCCTTCTTCTCCTGTTCTAACATTTGTGAAGCATCCAGTCCTTCTCCTGAGTCTAAAACATGTGTTACTGATGTGATTTTTATTTGAACAGTGCATGCATATTAGAATCATGGACTTCTTCATGTTCAACTTTGCTCCTGACATGGTTGACTCATCCAGTTTATCTTTCTAAGGAACAGCTGATTGAATGGATTAAAACATACTGGTCATCATTCTGTTTCAAGCAATCAGCATGCTGCGGTGAGTAAGCATCTTCAAAGCATAAAATACGTTTAAATAAGCAATGGGTGATTATTACACCTAGCTTTTAAAATCGCAAAAGAACATCTTGTATCCCCTCTACTTCAGAGACCATCTTGCAGGTTGTTAAGTCAAGAGAGATGAGTACGAACATTATATAGCTAGATTTAAAATGACAGCAATTCAGGTTTTGTGCAAATACCTTTAAAGGATGAATTCTTATCTATTTTTAAGACTATTTCTGGTCAGCTTCTCCTGCTGGCTGCCATGTTTTCAGGCTGCCAACATACTGAATGCTGTCATCTGTTTTGCAAACCATGGAAACTCGAGATATGGTTCTGAAACCAGGAAGTAAACATGGCCTTCAGACAATTTCAATGATGAGAACCTTAAAACAACGGGCTGAGGATGTCCCTATTAATACAGTAGAGAAAGACAAAGAACAGAAACACGTCACATTGGTCAAATCAGTTAGGAAATCCACAAGACATGAAGCAAAACATAACGGTGAGAAGATCAAACACAAGAACATCGCCATCCCATATGTTTTTGGAGTCTCTGAAAATAATCAACAAGACCCATAAGGCTGATTTATACTTCGAAACTAGGTCGTCTGCT